CAATCTCTACAAAATATTTATGAGAATAATGTACAGGTGTAGAGGTCTTTCTTGTACTGTCAAGAGAGGGGAACATGTTGGTGGGCTGATACAAACTGTTTTATAGCACCATATATCTTTGTAGTCACACAGTTGACTAAAATGTGCAGAGAATGCAAGATTCCATTTTGCTGATTATTTGTTTACTATAAAAGGAACCATCTGATTCAGTAAGCAAAACGCCTTTTCAGTATTCAAAGTGGCTTTCCTCCAAAAAGGGGAAAAGGGCATCTCCTTTCTGTTAACAATCAATAGACATTTTTTAAGGAAATGTATTTTTAGAGGGCTTTTTTTTGTTGTTGTTATTGTTTTGGTTGGGAGGTGTCTGTTTGGTCAAAGCAAAATGTATCAATGAATTTTTTTTGCATGTAATGCTATTATATTTTTTCCAATTACATGTAAAGATAGTTTTCAACATCCATTTTTGTAAGATTTTGTATTCCAGACTTATCTCCTTCCCTCCCCCTTCCCCAAGACAGCATGCAATCTGATATAGGTTATACATGTAAAATCATGTTAAACATATTTCTGCATTACTCTCACGAAAGAAAAATTAGAACAAAAGGGAAAAAACACGAGAAAGAAAAAACAAAAGATAAAGTGAAAATAGTATGCTTTTATCTGCATTCAGACTCCATAATACTTTCTTAGGATGTGGATAGCATTTTCCATAATGAGTCTTTTGGATGTCTTAGGTTATTATATTGCTGAGAAGAGTTAAGTTTATCATAGTTGATCATCGCACAATGTTACTGTTACTGTTTGCAAATTCTCCTGCTCACTTTGCTCAGCATCAGTTCATGAAAGTCTTTCCAGGTTTTTCTGAAATCCTCCTGCTCTTCATTTCTTCTGTTTCTTGATTTTGAAGTAGGAGTAGCATAGGAAAGGGGAAAGAACACTGATTCAGATCAGAAGACTTGAGTTCAAACTCTGGCTGACTTAACTACCTGTGAGAACAGGGGCAAATCATTTTACCTCCCTATGTTTCAGTTTTCTCATCTATAAAATGAGGTGGCTAGACAATATGACCTTGGAAGTCCCATCCAGTTCTTAGATCCAGCTCTAGATATTAAGAATTTGGGGAAAAAGTTTTACATCTCCAAGATTTGGCCCAATTAAAGGTACTGCCTCAGCTACAAGATCATGATCCCCAGACCAAACCACCTTTCCTAACTCTTCTTTGAACTATTTTAAAGTCAGGAAATTTGGACTTCGCTAGTGAAGCTTTTGAATTTGAAATCCAAAAGACATTTGCACTCAAGAGTGGAAAGCCAGGCCAAAGTCAAGATTCCTACATTTGATTCAACTCAAACAGAACCTATTATGTTTAATATTAGTTGTGCTATAGTAAGACATTATTATTTACATGATTCTGTGTACTCTGATCTGTATACTCAAGTACTCTGATCTGTGATCTCATTGGTTTGGGTGTCTTCTCCAATAGTACAGATTATACAACATACCTATGGCTAACCACCTTGGGTTACTCTCGTCCATGTCTTCCTCTGAGTCTGACACAAGGAAGGCCACCCTCAGTACTAGGAGAATTTCCTCTGTTTTTTGTGTGTGTGTGTGTGTGTGTGTGTGAGAGGCAATTGGGGTTAAGTGACTTATTCAACGTCACACAGCTAGTAAGTGTCAAGTGTCTAAGGTCACATTTGAATTCAGGTCCTCCTGACCTCAGGACCAGTGCTTTATCCACTGGGCCACCTGGCTGCCCCTTTAATTTTCTTGAAGTCACAGTGGGGTACGTGGATTGCCACTGGTTAACCCTCATTCTTCCCACATGATCAGTTCATCTTTTTAGTGGAGGTTCTTATGGTTCTCTGATGTTATCCTTTATGTCACTTCTCCGTAGTTCCTTCTTTGCGTGTTGTTGTGTTTGTGCCCACCATTTACCTCTCTATTGCTGTTTGAGGGATCCTCAGTCTCAATACTTAAGGGACTGTATTGGTTCATGATTTATAACCATAAAACAGTGAAAGCATACCAGTACTAAAAATATGAAGGTTTGTTTCAAGAAGTTGAGTGTCACTAAAGAACTCCAATTTTCCAAAGATGACCCAGCTCTTCTCCCTCTTTTGTTCCAATTCTGAGCCCAACTGACTGTCTGTTTACAGTGTCTGTACCTCCTACATGATTGGAAAGTGGGCATGCAGATTGGCAGTTCATTTTTTTTTTGTAATAAGTTGTGAGATTTTCAAGTGTTTGGAAATCCTGTCTTTCAGATATATAGAGAATGAATTTCTCAAGATCTCCAGCATAGACCGTTTCAGTTTTTACTCAATACTGACAATAACCAGCGTTATGTAGTGTTGCAGTGTTTGCAGAATGCTTTACATGTTTGATTTGATTGATGCATTTGGTCCTCACAATCATCTTGTGAAGTAGGTGCTATTATTATCACCATTTTACAGATAAGGAAACTGAGGCGCAAAGCACTTTAAATGACTTGCCCAGATAGTGTCTAAGGCAGGATGCAAGCTAAGTTCTTCCTGACTCCCAAGTTCCACCCTCAGTCTCAAGTGCCTCTTAGCTGCCTTTTGTCTAGTCCAATATCTCATCCCATCTTTGTGTTGTTTAGTGTCTTTATGCATTGGGAATGCCTTTGGTTTTGGATGACATTGTGAAGTCTCTGAACATTAATTCTCTGTTCAATTGTTTTCCGTGTCTGACTTTTCGTGTCCCCATTTGGAGTTTTCTTAGCAAAGAGTGGTTTGCTTTTTCCTTCTTTAGCTCATTTTACAAATGCAGAACTGAGGCAAACAGGGTTAAGTAACTTGCCACACAGCTAGTAAGTATCTGAGGTTCACTTTGAACTTAGGTCCCCTAGACTCCAGGGCCGGCTCTCTATCCATTGCACCACTAGCTTGCCCATTACAAAGCTCATCCTAAATGATAAGCTAGGAAGAACCAATTGGGTAGACAAGGCTTCCTACATCCAAACTGTCTAAACTGAAAGAAAGCTGGATGTACAACTCATAAAAATGATCCATCAGCTCATATATCTTAGGCAGACCTTGCACGTGGACAGTGAGCTGAACCTGTAATTTAATAAATGGGCTGGATTAATGTGAGGAACTACAGTGCTTTTCGTGGTCCTGAACTTCTTCCTGAGGGGAAAAAAGCTCATCTTTTTAACAGCAGTATCCTTTCATTGATGCTGTTTGGCTGAATCATAGAACATCAGAGTCACTGAAGAAGTTGTAGGTCACCCAAGGTGCCCAGGAGGGGCTCATAGTGATGGTGTGTTAGCAGGAGAAGTGACTTAAAGAAATGACGAGAATAGGAAGTGAGGCTAGTCATGCAGTGTGAGAGAGGGAAAGCTGGTGGTTAGTATGCCTTTGTATACATGTAGTTTCAAAAGATCTAGAGGAAACACCCAATCATATTTGATGGCCCCTAGGGATGACATACACAAGAGTTGTTGAGGTTGAGCTGGGGGTACAAATAAAAAAAAATGAAACAGTCCCTCCCTTCAAGAAGCTTACATTCTGTTGGGGGAGACAATACGTGTATGAAAGTGATAGCCAGGGAAAAGAGTACGTGAGGAGTCACAGGAATGAAGAATTGATTCATTCTGTTGACATATTCTTTCTGAGAATAATGGTAGTATGGTGGTATTGATTTGATTACTGAGTCTGCAACAAGGTGTGGAAGGTGGGTTGGGAATGGGGGAATATTGGTAATATGCTGTTTCAGGGAAGACGGTGAAATGACCAAGATGGACAGCTTGATTAGATATGGAGCATGATCTGTAGTTATTTGAGGCCAGCTAGCCATAGTGGGATATTTGAATTTGCCTCACCAATAAAGACAACCCAACCCCAAAGTGGGAGTTCCAGAACTGAATAGATAATGCCCCTGGTCTCTGGAAAAGATATTTTTCAATGTGTAGACCAGAGTTTGGGGCAGCTAGGTGGTAAAGTGGATAGAGCATTGGGCCTAGAATTAGGAAGATTTGAGTTCAGATGTGGCCTCAGAGACTAACTGGGCAAGTTACTTAAGCTTTTTTGCTTCAGTTTCCTCATTTGTAAAATGAGTTGGGGAAGTAAATGGCAAGCCACTCCAATATTTTGCCAAGAAAACTACAAATGGGGCCACAAAGAGTCAGACATGACTGAAACAACTGACAACAACAGGTGCAGAGAGGCTGGTCCATGTAAGGAGATTGAAGGACTTTGGCAGTAAGGTTGATACCTGGATGTGATGTGAAGAACTTTGATGAGATCATAGATCTTATATTTGATAGTACTGAAGTAACAGAAAAGAAGGCTGTATGGTCCTAAGAACCACTATTGTATCTGACCAGAGTTTCATGTATTCTTTATTTTTACTTCATTTATAGTTATAGTCCTCTGCTTTCTTTATTCTGTGTCACTTCATACCAGTCTTTTCATGTTCCTTCAAATTCTTCATAGTCAGGCCTTGTGGCGAATTTTCTTTAATATTCATATACCATAATTTATTTTTTCTTTGAATAATATTTTATTTTTTCCCAGTTACATAGCAATTTTAAACTTTCATTTAAAAAAATTTTGAGTTCCAGATTCTCACCCTTTCTCTTTTTTCCCCTCCCTGAGACAGTAAGCAAATTGATATAGGTTATACACATTCAGTCATGTAAAATATATTTCTGTATTAGTCATGTTGTGAAAGAAAACATAGACCCCCCCCCCTCCAGAAAAATAAAGTGAAAAATAGTGTGCTTCGATCTGCATTCATACTCCCTCATTTCTTTCTCTGGAGATGGATATTCTTTTTCATCATAAATCCTTTGAATTTGTCTTGGCTCACTGTGTTGCTGAGAATAGCTAAGTAATTCACAGTGGATCATTGTATGATATTGCTGTTACTGTGCACAGTGATCTCCTGGTTCAGCTTACTTCGCTTTTCTTTCATCAGTTTGTGTAAGTCTTTACAGCTTTTTCTGAAATCATTCTGCTTGTCATTTCTTATAGGCACAGTTGTATTCCACTACAATCATGTACCACAGTTTGTTCGGCCATTCCCCGATTGGTGAGCATCCCCTCAATTTCTAATTCTTAGCCACCACAAAAAGAGTTGATGTAAATGTTTTTGTACAAATAGGTCTCCCCCTCCCCCATTTTTAATCTCTTTGGGATACAGATCTAGTAGTGGTATTGCTGGGTCAGCGGATATGCCCAGTTTTTATAGCCTTTTAGGTGTAGTTCCAAATTGCTCTCCAGAATATTTGGATCAGTTCACAATTCCACCAACAATGCATTAGTGTCCCAATTTTCCCATGTCCCATCCAACATTTATCATTTTCCTTTTTTGTTATATTAGCCAATCTGATAGGTGTGAGGTGGTACCTCAGAGTTCATATACCATAATTTATTCAGCCATTCCCTGCTTGATGGGCACATACTGTCTTTCCAGTTTTTTTGTTAGACAGATAATGTTGCTATAATCATTTTTGTTTGTATGGATCTTTTCTCAGTGTCACTGTACTCTTTGAGATAATTCCATTAGTGGAATATCTAAGTTAAAGGGTATGAATGGTTTGGTAATATTTTTAAACATAATTTCACATTGTCTTCAAGTTTACCAGCAATGAATTAGAGTACCTGTCTTCCCATGGCTCCTCTAATAATGAATTTTCTTCTCTTTTAGTGTCTTTGCTAGCTTGATGGGTGTGAAATAGTACTTCAGGATTATTTTAGGATGATAGCATCACAGATCTAGAGCTGGAAGGAGCCTTAGTGGCTATCTAGTTCAACCCTCTCATTTTATACACGTGAAAATTGAGGCTCAGCAAGGTTAAGGGACTTGACCAAAGTCATACAGGTAGTTAGCATCAGAGGCAGGATTTGAACCCAGGTCCTTTGACACCAAAGCTAGTGCTCTTTGACCTGTATATTTCTTTTGTTAATGATACTGAATATTTTTTCTGGTCGTTAGTGATAGTTTATTTTTTTTAGTTTGAAAACTATTGAAATCTTTTGATTACTTTTCTGTTGGAGAATGGGTTCTGAGTCTTTTACATTTGTGTTAGTTATCTATATATTTTAGATTATTAAGAGTTTTATCAAAGATATAAAGATGTTTTCCAATCTGGCTTTTCATCTGATTCTAGATGTTATAATTTTATTTGTGCAAAAACTGTATTCACAACCCTTGAAAGAGTTGTCTTTACAAATACAGCTAAATACCTTGACACATAGCCATAGTACTTAACCTCAATTTTTAGCTTAATTCATTACCTCTCTTGGTTTGTTTTTTTGTTTTGTTTTGTGTTTTTTGAGTTTTGCTTTTCTTGTGTGTGTTAATGTTCACGTCAGGGGCACCTGTTCCCTTCTTTCTTCTCTCTCTCTCTCTCTCTCTCTCTCTCTCTCTCTCTTTCTCTCTCTCTCTCTCTCTCTCTCTCTCTCTCTCTCTCTCTCTCTGTCTTTCTCTGTCCCTCTCTGTCTCTTTCCCCCACCCTTCCCCCCTCCCCTTCTCTCTCCTCATCCTCCTCCTCACTGTCTCCCCTCCCTCCTTCTCTTCTTTTGTTCATTATTTGTGATACACACAATCTCTCTTTAGTTTTGTTTGTTGTATTGTAGGTATATACACATTATTTATTACTGATTAACCTTTCACCTTCTTTCTAAATCCATTTGTGACTTTTAGTCATCATTCAAGACAATCTTATTGCTGGGCATTTTTTGGAGTCAAAGTCTACCCCTTGAGACCTTTGTAGATCATTATAATTCTGCTGAAGTTTTGTTCATTCAGAGTAACCTTAACATCCCTTACCAGTTCTGTCCTTCCATTCCCTTGAACAAATTTCAGGTCATAGTTTCAGTTGTTTTGCAAGCCTTGAATAACATTTACATAAAATACCACTTTGGTGATTTTATGATCCAGAGTTTTTAAAGTTGGCTTTACCTGAAGTTCATAGCTTATTTGCATATCAGATGTTCCCACCTTGGAATTAATTACCTAGAAACTGATTCTTGAGTTGATATTGTATATTGTAAATGTAGGTAACTTTCTCTTTTTCCTGTAGAAATAGAAACATTAGGAAATGTGGGAGAATAGAACTTTTTTTTTTCTTCAAATATTATTCCTAGTTTAGCTGAGTAGGTGATTTTGGAAGTGAAGCCCAATTACCTTTGACTTTTAATAGTATTTTTTTTAAAAAGTTACATGTAAAGACACTTTTTTTCCCCCTCTTCATTATTTATTATGTAATTAACAAAAAGTCTGGAGGACCAGAATTTAGAGTTGAAAATTTTTCTCCCTTTTTCTCCCCCCCCCCACCCTCCCCAAGACGGCACACAATCTGACATAGGCTTTACATTTACATACCCATTAAACATATTTTCACATTAGTGAAGTTGTAAGTAAAAATTAAAACCAATAGGAGGAACCATCAGAAAGATGAAACAAAATTCAACTTAAGGTAAAATTAAGTGAGAGCGATTCGACTTCCATAGCTCTTTCTTTGGATGTGGACAGCATTTTCCATCCTGAGGCCTCTGAAGATGTCTTAGATCCTCATAATGCTGAGAAGGGTTCAGTTTAACATTCTTAGTCATTGCATAACGTGGCTGCTATTGTATACAAAGTCCTCTGGGTTCTGCTCACTTCACTCAGCATCAGACCATATAAGGTCTTTCCAGGTTTTTCTGAAGTCATCCTGTTCATCATTTCTTATAGCACAATAGTATTCCATTACATTCATATACCACAACTTGCTCAGCCATTCCCCAATTGATGGGCATCCTCTCAATTTCCAATTCTTTGCCACCACAAAAAGAGCTGCTATGAATATTTTTGTACATGTGGGTCCTTTTCCCATTTGTTTGATCTCTTTGGTATATAGCCCTAGAAGTGCTATTGCTGGATCAAAGGGTATGCACATTTTTGTAGCCCTTTGGGCATAGTTCCAAATTGTTCTCCAAAATGGTTGGATCATTTCACAACTCCACCAACAATGTATTAGCGTTCCAATTTTCCCACATCTTCTCCAACATTTATCATTTTCCTGTTTTGTCATGTTGGCCAATATGATAGGTGTGATGTGGTACCTCAGAGTTGTTTTGGTTTGCATTTCTCTAATCAATAATGATTTAGAGCATTTTTTCATATGACTATAGATGGCTTTAATTTCTTCATCTGAGAACTGCCTGTTCATATCCTTTGACCATTTATCAATTGGGGAATGGCTTGTGTTCTTATAAATTTGTCTTAATTCTCTATATATTTTAGAAATGAGGCCTTTATCAGAAAGACTGGTTGTAAAAATTCTTTCCCAATTTTCTACCTTCCTTCTAATCTTAGTTGCATTGGCTTTGTTTGTGCAAAAACTTTTCAATTTAATGTAATCAAAATTATCCATTTTGCTTTTCATAATGTTCTCTATCTCCTGTTTGCTCATGAATTCTTCTGTTCTCCATAAATCTGATAGGTAAACTATTCCTTGTTCTCCCAGTTTACTTATGGTATCAGCCTTTATATCTAAGTCCTGAACCCATTTTGGCTTTATTTTGGTAGTAAAGACACTTTTTTAACTTTTATTTTTTGTAAAATTTTGAGTTCCGAATTTTTTTCCCTCTCTCCCTTCTCCTTTCCCTAAGACAGTAAGCAATTTGATAAAGGTTATATATGTGCAATCATGTAAACATATTTCCATTGCCCTTGACTTTTGACAAACTGCTTTCCATCTTTTTCTGACTTTTCTCCTAGTAAATGAATAATCCTGTACTAGTCTAATCAGAGTTCCTTGATAAGGGATAATTTTCTTATCTCCTTGCAAAATCCTTTATCAGTGATTTTAGAGAGAAGGTGAAAGATAACATTGTGTCTGGATTATGTTTCTCTCAGAAGACATTTCATTAATTCTCGAAGTCTATACTTTATCCCTCCATGTTGCTATTTGTGGATTGGTGACTACAGTATATTTTGAGGAAAACCTTCCAAAGAGAGTGAATATTGCACTGTGGGAGAGCGGATTTGGTTTCTCAGATAACCAGGTGGTAAAATGGATAGAGCATTGGGCCTGGAGGCAGGAAGATCTGAGTTAAAATATGGCCTCAGACCTTATTAGCTCTGTGACCTTGGGCAAATCACCCTCCATTTGCCTCAATGTCCTCAGTTGTTAATAGGGATAATAATGGCACTTGCCTTCTAGGGTTGTTATGAGGATTAAATTAAATAATAATTTTAAAGCACTTAGTTCAGTGCTTGGCACATAGTAGACACTATATGAATACTAGTTGTCATCATAATAATAATTATTATTAACTCTTAATACATTCCTTCCTCTTTTGCTACCCAGAGAACCATTCCTTGTAACAATGAGTAAAAAAAAAAATGGGGGAGGGGAGAGAAGAAGCAATTTGGGAAAACTAATATGTCAGCCAGAATCTGACAGTGTGGATTGTTCCCACATTCTTTGCGTTCTCAGATATAGAAAAGAGATAATAACATTTTCTCATCTCTTCAGGGCAAAATTTGATCATTATAATTGTGTAGCATTTAGAATGTTTTTTCCATTTTATGTGCATTAGTGTAGTCATCATATATGTTGCTTTCCTATTTCTGCTTCGTTTTGTATTAGTTTGTATGTCTTTGTATACTTATCTATATCATATCCATCATTACTTATAGGCAGGCATCAGGTATTTATTGCGCACTTACTATGTGCCAGGCATTGTTGTGATGGTGCAAATATAAACAAAAAGAACCCAGTCTCTTTCCTCAAGGAGTTTATATTCTCATGTGGAAAGCAACTTACACAAGGGAGCTAAAAAGGACATGGAGTAGGGAAAGTGTCCTTATGGGCAGCTTGGAGTGCATGGTGGTAAAATCATGAGAAGCCAAAGCAGAGCTAGTAGGAGAAGGAAGGATGGCAGGTCTGGGACCTTCCCCTGAAAATGGAGTACCCCACCAATATAATAAGAGAAGCAGACGGATATTCCAGGATGACAGAGTCCCAGGTACCAAGAGAATATAGTAATATTTCATTACATTCATGTACTATAATTTGTTTAGCCATTCCTTAGTTG